GCATTCGATTTCAGTCGATTACACCTTGAAGTATTAAAGTCTAGGAGGTGCAGCGAACATAAACATTATGCGCATTATCATTATTTTGCGAGAACGATTTATTTCAATAATTAATTGTTAACGGCGAAAAAACCGTAATATTGAATAACTAACTGCATTGTTGCGCTTTGAAACATGCACGCATGCTGTTCATTAGCGTATTCAAAGATTCGAAGCTGTAACCATTACCATCACCGTTGCCCATTACCATTGATCCATTTTATACTTAATTATAAACTTATTAGGACATAATAAGTTAATGAACAATTTCATTCGTTAATTGAAACTTACTTCATTTTATTTTATATAATTATAAATTTATTAAAACATAATAACTTAAAATATATAAAACAGTTCATATGTTTTTTTTGTATATCTTGTTTATTAAGATTAACACTTTTATCGCAGTGTCCCTCAAATTAATTGAATAACAAAAATTTATTCTAATAAATTCAAGACAGTTTTTTTAAATTTTCAAAATACACATTTTATACTTTTTTTTCCCTGCGGCTATAAAGCACAAGGTCTTCTTTAAATACGTGATATTTTCAAAATGCATTCCATTATACCCGAAATCTGCTCCAAGTGCATTTGTTTTAGTAGAAATTACAAATTAATAAATAAGGAATTGAAATTTTCATTTAATAAAAAAATATTAAATAGAAAAAAAAATATTTATTGAATTTTCGTTAATATCAATATTTTAATTGATTTATTTAGATTCTGTTTATATTTTTTCATTTACTAGTTTTATTGAATAAAGAATGGAAAATTTTCTTCAAATATCTATATTTAATTTTCGTTAATTAATTAACTAAACTTACTTTGTGAATTTAAATAATATAAGATCAAATAATAGGAAAAGTTAGTGCTTTTATCTAAACTTTTGTTTTACTATTTAAATTGTAAATAATAATAAACAAATGTAAGCGAAAAGTATTGAAAAATAATTAAACGAAATAGACTAGAATGCGATGTTGTAATTTGTTTTGCTTTTGTTTAAAGAAATTGCATCCATAAGGTATATTAACTGCAACTTCGAACAATGAGTTCGTTAATTAGTTGTGATTATATTCGTGTACTTACTCCTTTTCCCGTATAGTCCTTTTGTGTTTGGTGGTTCCTTTAATAGTCCTGTACAGGGAAATCATGTTGACAAAGTCCTTACGGCACACACAACAATTTCACAGGATTTATAAAATTAAGAAAAAAAAATAATAATAATTAATGATAAAAATTTTGAATTTTCTTAAGAGCACTTTATCACAAATGGTATCAGGTGAAACGAGAGGCGAGAGAGAATGCGGCGGCTTTTGTTTTGAATATTGGCGGTCTGGGAGCGCGAGTGGTGGGCTATGGCAATGGGTGTCTGTTGCTGTCTGTGTCTGTGTGTATGGTCGCGCGCGGAGTCGCACACTGAACAATTCTAATAAGAATGTATAGATGGGTTTCATAATATTATACATGAAAGGGGCAACCGCAATGGAACTCGGGGCTCTGGATTGCAGTGGATAGCCGCTGGTCATCCCGCGATTTAATGGTGCGCGTCGCCCAAAAACGGATTTCACTTTTCGTCGTAATTGAAAACGCACGGATAATCGAACATCCCCAAAAACTCAGATCATCCTGACTTTCTACATATTCCATTTTTTTCTACAACCAGTACACAACTTAGGCACAAATATAAGAATAAAATTTTACAATATAATCAAACTTTGTCGAAAATTAATTAATTAAAAAATAACAATTAAAAAGTAGATTTTTCACACAACTAATATTAAAGTTAATCATGATTATAGAAATAACAAAAAAATAATTTAAAAAAAAAATCAATTGTTGGTAAGAAAACAAACGATTTATTGTGTAAAATATTTCACTTTTGTTCGTAATTGAAATCGCATGGACAATCGAACATCCCCAAAAACTCAGATCATCCTGACTTATTACATATTCCTACAAATATTTCAATTTATCTACTTAAGAAAACCCTTATAACTAGTACAAAACTTAGGCACAAATATAAGTATAAAATTTTACAATATAATCAAACTTTGTCGAAAATTAATTAATTAAAAAAATAACTATTAAAAAGAGAACTTTTCACACAACTAATATTAAAGTTAATCATGATTAAAGAAATAACAAAAAATTGTAAAAGTTTAATTAAGAAAAAAAACAATTGTTGGTAAGATTTATTGTGTAAAATATTTCACTTTTCGTCGTAATTGAAATGGCATGGACAATCGAACATCCCCAAAAACTCAGATCATCCTAATTTCCTACATATTTCTACAAATATTTCAATTTATCTACTTAAGAAAATCCTTATAACTAGTACACAACTTACGCAAATATAAGAATACAATTTTGCAATATAATTAAACTTTGTCGAAAATTAATAAATTAAAAAAATAACTATTAAAAAGCAGACTTTTCACACAACTAATATTAAAGTTAATCATGATTATAGAAATAATAAAAAATTAGTTATAAAAAACAATTGTTGGAAAGAAAACAATCGATTTATTGTGTAAAATATAATTTTATGTAACTAACATAAAAGTTATCAGAATCTGCCTTGCAAATTAAGAAAAAACAATATTGTATGAACCTCGCTTAACAAACATCTTGCATAACAAGCATTTCACTTAACGAGAAAAATTACTCGCTTAACGAGCGACGTTTCAATTAGAAGAGAAGTTCCGGATATATGTGTATTTTTGAATATGTTTCACTATACGAGTAAAAATCCGGAAATTTTGGAACAGATTAAACTCGTTAAGCGAGGTTTCCACTGTTTGTAAACTACTACTGTTTCTAAGAAACTTTAAAACTCTGATAGTGACTATGTCGAAACGTCAAGGACTTTCTATGATTAATTAAATTTTGGTGAATGTATGGGTTTTCTACAAAATAAACACTCATTAAAAAAAACGTCTATTAATAATTTTTGCAGAATATTTCAGAAATTGCTGTGTTTCATCCATTAAAAGTTGACAAAATAAAAAATTAACGCTCGTGTTTTTACATTTCAGTCATTTTATCGGGAAATACAATATAATAGATTGATATTTCATGAAATGTAGAAATTTAAACTGGATTTTTAACAAACAAAGAACATTTTCTAAATATTATTAAAAAAAATATATATAATATAATTGAAATAATAATAGACTAATTGACCTATATATAAATACTTGTTTATTTCGGGTTTAGTAATTACTATGAGCTTTCTTTTGTGTATTTACAATTTAAAATTTAATTGAAACTAGTTTATTTTGAAATATTAAACACAAAATCATTGTACCAATAAACTAATTTATGAAAAACATGATTTATTTTATAAGTTTAATAAATGTAAAGAAATTTAATTTGAATTTGCTACGTTATTAAAATTCTTTTGGTGTTTTATTTTTACGGTGCGAGGATATATCATCAAAATAAATAAAGATGATCTTTATTGGATAATAAATAACGTGGACAAAAAATAAAATAAAATATAATGTGGACATTTCTCGACGCGTTTCCCTACTGGAAATTTCCATTATCATATCTTCGTCGTTTTCGTTTTCGGTCAATTATTATAAAAGGGAGAATACGCGGTTTAGGTGTGTACGTGTATGTGCGAGTGTGTACGTTCTACGTATACATATTCTAATAATATATCTTGCGGTCTTTTATTATGTGCATGACAAGGGGATCTTAGGTACGCGAATGGTTTACGATGCGCGATCGGCGTTGCGGGAATAATTGTTTGAAAGCCGCCGTCCCCAAAGACACCCTCATATATTCGCGCATTACTGTCAAAACGTCGCAGTAATTTCCATCGCGTATCAAAAGGGTGCAACAAAAAAAAGATAACAAAAAAAAATAAATAAATAAATGTTAAAGAAAACATAGAAATACGAAAGGAAATTGTGATCTGAATCAGCCCTTATGAAATATTCCTAAAGCGACCTTAACACACAGACCTTGCTACTGCATCACATTTTCGCAACTCTGATTCATTTCAAGTAGTTGGGAAATAGATGTATTGCTTAACGCATTGATTCATCCCTCCAGAAGAAATGAATCACCTAACTATCCGGTTTATACCTTAAGTTTGTTAAGAGGATAGAGAAAGATAGAGAGAGAAGAAGAGAGTCTTCGCTCCGGCAGTTTCATGATTATCATTACACGAACTCTCTAATTTTTAATTATTATTGTTAATATATTCCGATGGAAACAACAGAAGCAGAAAAGGCTTTTTCGGTGCGCAATCGTCTATTTAGCAATCCGCCAATTTCTAACGCATTCCTACCTCCATCGATGTCGAATTCCGTAAGCATTCAATTTCTAGGCGCGCACCTAAAAACTGTATGTATGTGATGTATATACATATAAATATACAGCCTGTTTTCCCTTTTGCGTCCGCCGTTGGGCAACGATCGCGGAATTTTTCCGATCCGATCTTTATCCCAATCCGTACAATTTTATTTATTTATTTATTTATTTTTTTCGATGCGGTTTCTTTATTAGCAAATCGCAGACGATTCTCTTTCACTTTCGATTTTCGGAACTCCGGCTACTTTCGTCTTGGCCACCATTTCGCATTCCAATTACCACTTGCATCCGAAATATGTTCGCATTCATTTCGAACCCACTCGTTCGGATCGTAATTAGGAGTCACACACTTAAGCTTTGAACCGATTCGAATTGATCAACAGTGTGTATTCCTAAAAGTAACAGGTAGTAAATATACATCCATATGCAAATTATGCAATTACTCAACCTTTCTTTTCGCTCAAGATATCATAAAAAGTCTTATTTTTCGAACGATTTAAATATTTTCAAATTATTATTTACAGTTTCATAAGCAATTAATTTGAGGATAGAAAGAATATTCATAAATTTGATTATAAAACACATATTTTATTTATTCATAGTGTATAAAACTTACATAAAGACTAAAATATTTTAATTAAAATTAGTAAATGATTTACCCCTGTTGTTACAAAATCTAGGTAATTATTGTTTCGATGTCGTCTTCTCTGTGAGATCTGTAAACGTAATATGTTAGTAGTTTAAAAATACAATGTTGTTTGGAATGCTATTGGTAAAATAGAGTATGGCAGATTGTTCTCGAACTTTGGTCATGAATTTCTTGATGCGGGTGGGCGGTGAAACAAAATGCCTTTATGCCTAGTATCACCACTGAATAAGGTACACGAGTGTCAGATTCTTAAAAAAAAGAAAATCATTTTTCATATACTATACAGAAGCACATTAATATAATATCGATAATAAACTAAAACGATTAAAGTTATAACAAGTAATGTACAAATAAGGACGGACACGGTATAATTTGAACACATTTCACAATTTCAATGAAACACATTATGGCAGCATTAAACGTCTGTTTGGGGAATTCCCTGGACGACCTTTGTTCGGGTGTTCCTCCTGGAGCCAAGAACCGGTGTGCCCTTGCGGTGGACCTCGCCGTTAGGGCTGCTCGTGGTAAATTCTTGCATCTCCTTCAATGATCCGCTGCTTGTGCGGAAGGAGGCGGCACTGCTGGTGCCGCCGAAGTTTGATCTTGGCTTGTCCGTGTATTCGTAGATTTCCGGGCTGCGGGTGTTTTCTATCCCTAAATCCGTATCGTTGTCGGTAACTATGAAGTCCCCATTGTAATAGCGGTCCGATTTCCTGCAACCCATTGCACTGGCATTTAAACAAGAGTATTTTCCATAGGTTTTACAAACTACAGTTTTGTCTTACGTGAGGAATTCCTTTCTGATCCTAGATTGTCTGTTGCAATGCAAAGTTAATGAAGCTCACTATTACCCAATTGCGTTAAGTTTAGCACCCTGCCCATGCATATATTGTCAGTTTAGGGCATTACCTTGCTTACCTCTTAGCGTTTCTCCACAGCATGCAGCACACAACAAGCAGCACGACAAGGAACAGACACGCCGTTGACATGCTCCAAAAGGCGATCTGCAGAGGTGTACTCGGCTCATACCAAAACTAGAAATTAATGATATTACCACCCAATCAGATACAGTTATGATCTTACTTACTTCTGTAGTGGGCCTTAGTGTAACCACCAAATTACCAACAACCATAGGTAGATATTGCGTCCAGAATGCCGACTCCGTTTGTCTGTAATTCCACATTATCGAAGAATTATACGTAGTATTCAAGTTTAGATAAGTCAGCTGGCCATTCCTCGCCTGCTCGAAATGCAATCCAAAGATCTGAGTGAAAGAAGGAGTTCTGAAACATCAATTGATTATTTATTGAAGTAATTTGTGGATTCGTTGAATTACCCATGTCTGGCAAAATCTGTGTAGGCTTTCATGAAGAAGTGACTCATATTCCGATCGTTGTTGGTCCACTGCAATCTATGAAATCTTTCCTTCTTAGGAAAGAATTCCACGTCCATAAACGGTGCCCCGGTCAGGAGGTAGTGCTCGATGTTGTGCGGAGTCTTCCTCCAGAAATCATTCTTGAACGACTCCACGGTCGTATTCAATACGTACATATAGACTTTGACATCCTTTTCTAATAGCAGTTTTATCATTTTATCGTTGGGCGAGACGTACAGAAAATCCGAGAGCAGCTCTATGTACTTTTCCCTGATGTGTGTAACATTGTGTGGGTCGGGCCAATAAGTGTACATGTATTTGATAGCCTCGTACGTTCCGTTCGGGTTCAACGTGTAATTATATCGCAAAACGAGTTCCTTCACTTTTTGCTCGAAGAAAACTTCATCCACAACATAATACGGTGACAAACTATCGTTCTTATCTGCGAAAACAAAGCCATTGCATACTTAAGGTCACTAAGGTAACTCAATTTCCACCTACAAATAAAATCAGCCGCCTCCTGCATTGTCACCGATGCCATATACTTCAGGCCACGGTTGAAATGGCCTTGTCGGATCAGGTTCTCCGGGTTACTATCCATAAAATGCCAATCCCTCTCATTCCATCCCTCGTAGAAAGGCATCGTCAAATTAAAGTCGATCACAGGCGCCCATGGGAATAAACCTATATGTGGTGGGAATTCTGCATTACCCAATTCGTTCGCACTACGACTCTTCAAGCAGTTCACCAGTTTCCAAGAGGAATCTATGCTGCATCCAACAAGCTGACCAAACACGCGGCTAGTGTTCTGAGCTCTGTATTGATCCATAATCATAGCCCAGTCAGCCACAGCAGAACCACTCTTTAAAAAAAAAACAATTTAATCATCTATTTATATTATATTTAAGTAGTTACCTGTCCAATAACTTTGCTGACCATATGCTTTGTTTCTGGAGCTACCATGAGGAGTCCTGCGGAAGCAGCTCCAGCACCAGGACCGAACAACGTGATACTACTGCTGTCTCCATTGAAAAACTCAATATTTTCGTAAACCCATTTCAAAGCCATAGCCTGATCTAAAATGCCGTAATTTCCTGGTGAATTTATATCAGCTGTACTTAAAAATCCTAAAAATTCAAGTAGCATTAATAATTTACTTAAAGGGTGATTATTGCATTGTCCGTACCTAAAGCGCCTAGTCGATAATTAATGGTAACTATAACTACTTTGTAGAAAGTGGCCATTATGTGGCCTGGGAAATGGTTGGACGCGCCGTGCGCAAAGTCTCCCCCATGTATATAAAACATAACGGGGTACTTCTTTCCGACGTCCTCCGTCGACGGGGTATAAATATTCAAGTATAAACAGTCCTCGTTCACATCCCTTATTCCCTTGGTAGCTCCAGTGTAAATAGATGGCTGGGGACAAGCCGGCCCAAAATCAACTGCCTCTAATATTTGCCAACCCTTGTGTCTTCTCGGTGGCTAAATGAGTAAAGTTATTTCAATTAGTCTAAAGATACAATTATTTACTTGAAATAATAATAATACCTTGAATCTACCCTCGCCCGTCGGAGGTAAAGCGTATGGAATACCAAGGAAAACTGTAGTTGTTCCAGTCACTTGGTGTATATGTTCTGATACAGGACGATAATAGGAGTCCGGATCTGGATTATCATATAAATACACTTTGAATCCTTGCACGTTTCCGTATTTAGTTTTCACATGAACGAATTGATTATTATGATTACTTCCTTCCCTCCTCGTCCCTTGCAAGTCTTCACGCCAATCTGCCAGAATTCCTGGCAAAATAGGCCTGCTGTTGCCCTCCTGAAAATCCGCATGATCATAAATAAAAAAATAAATAACGAAGGTACGTGATGCTATAAAACCAGCAGCGCACCTGAGGAATACGCTTTATTTGAGTTTGCTGCGCCATTCTGAATATTAACAACAATAAAAAGAAAACGCCCCCGTACGAAAAAAAATATCTATTTTAATGATGTTCGCATGAAATACATTTAAAGTGTATATTCTACGCGAGTTGGTAGTTTTGGAGGGGTGCATTTGCGAGGGTTTCGGGTCGATAAACTTTAAAGAGTGAGAGCGTACAACAACAACAATTATCATGATTAGTTTCGTTGACTCGTATGAGTCATGCGAGGGATACGCATACACCCTCTTTTTATTTTGAAATCACGCACGTATTTTATTTTCATTTTACCTGGTCGTAGGAGAATCGCTCATCTTCTCCGATCCTGTTCGGATCTCCTGGGCGTTCTTGGCCGTTGTATCCGTTGGGCTGGTATTGACCATACCTTCTACCATGGTAAATGTATGTCCTGTGATCCCTGTCCGCGTTTGGCCAATACCCGTTATCCTGGGGATACTGGTTGTATTGCTGGTAATGGTCTGGATAAGTTTGGCCGGTAATCAACACAAAACAATGCCATACACAGGTCATAAACACTGGGAGGTGCACTTGTTGTGGTCCTAGCGCCATATTTTCCTCTACCTGTGTGTGCGCGCAAGTGACGTCACCTGCCTTACCTGGTTTCGTTTGGTTATGCTTCGTTTGTTACCGAGATATTACGAATCCATAGGTTGTCACTTCGTCTCCTACGCCACTCTCCTCTTGTATATTATGTGTAATATCCTTATCAAACTGTTTGATAAGCACAGTAATGCAACGCGCCGCCACGGATAGCGCAATGAGGCTGTCTGTGCTCTGTTGCATCCACGTGCGTGGGCGTCAATCAATTAAACCTCCGATGGGCACTACTCGAATACTGCAGCCATGGCGTCCACATTAAAAACTGATTCACCCATTGAAAACTTTCACATTTTCCCATTTATACTGGAAATTAGCTAAGGCGTAGTGGGATTGGCGGCTTCCACTATTAAGTCATTACTTCTTAACTTTTAGTTTTCACATTCGTTCCGCCTCCTTATCATTACAATTACAAAACAAGAATACACTTATAATTAGTCTTCTTCGTACAAAAATGTGTTTTAAATTTAATTATTAAAAATATTACAAATCAGTTTATTATTTTTAATTAATGTATTTTTTTATTGATAAATAATACAAAATGAATATATTTCTAACAAAAAATTAAGAAATATAATTAACAAAATCAACAATATTGTTTACACTATTTTCCTTAAGAGTATTTTTTTTAAATCATCTCGTATGATACCTAAACATATATTATTTTTTTTCTATATGTGATGTAAATATTAAGGCGACAAACATAGTCATTAACTGAGAGATATATTTACATGAAAAAAATAATTATTAGTTTTATACCACCCCTATAATGATTTTATATACTAAAACCGCTGAAGCGAGTCTAACGACATGCTTATGAATCAGCTAAGTAGTCTTATCGTAAAGACCTTCAATAATTAATAGCTGACGATGATTGAATCCCGCACGAATTCACATATTTTTATCCTACGAAGTATAAACACTTCACAAAGAGACGTTTCACAGCGTCTCATAAGGAGGTGATCTTATAAATAAACAGTAAATTAAGATGCACAAAAAAAAAATCTTGTTAATGCGGCGTTTCCTTCTGTTATGTTCGTAACCATAAGTGCGAGATGTTGCTCTTTCCTGTGTGAAGCTGTATTTACGACCGGATTTAATCGTAATGTACAAATATAATCTGAGAATAATTGATCGTTAATTTCGAACTGCAATCTTCTACGGATTTATTGAGTGTTCAATATTAAATATTTGAATATTAAATATTATTAAAAATCATTTCGTTATCGAAATTTATTATAAATAATCATATTTTTTGTTTTCTAAGGGAAATAACTGTGTGTTCGGGATTATTTTAGGGAGAAAACAGAAATAGAAACATGTTGAATGAATACTCTTTTTTTAAGTGAATTCCGGCTAATTCTAAATCCTGTTATTGTTGGGGGTGTGTTTTTTTTTGTATGTATCTGGGGAAAAAGCATGATTTCAATATGCATTGGATTAGAGGTGGGTGTAAGGGGGATGAGTTGGTTATTCTTTTTTTACGTTTGGAAGGGATGTTAAGCGGCTGAGGGCTCGGAACGTCGGGTGTTTTTTTTTTTTAGAATGAGAGGGAGATAGAAAGATTCTAAGAGGAGGGGGATTGGAAACATGTGCTTGGCGCGCACCAAATTTCTTGTTGCGCTGCATTCTGCACTCACTCATCGGTAGTCGAGCAAGCGGCCAAGTACAAGTACACCAAAGTACAATTGAACTCTGTGCAATAATAGTTATGTACTAAAGTGGCAGTGATTGTTATTTAAGCTTTGATATTGTTGTTGTTGTATCCGATACCAGAAAGACAAACGGACATCGAGATGGCAGAGGAAAGCTTACATCTTCCGAGCGATGACAACCGCAGCATCGACTATCATATCGTGACACTCTTGGATAAGATCGAAACAATGAGATCGGATAACTTAAACACTAAAAAAAAAGTCAAGGTACCAATACAGATCGAAATACGCACTCTGGAGTTCTGGAGATCGGTGACTTGCGAGTGTCTGGCCTCCTTCATCTACGTGCTGATCGTCTGTGGTGCAGCCGCAGGCTCTGGAGCTGGAGCATCTCTATCTTCTGTTCTCCTGGCCACCGCGCTTTCGGCGGGCTTCTGCATGACCACTCTCACGCAATGCTTTGGACACATATCAGGTAATTAAACCTTAAACCCATTATCAGCATTTGGAATTCTACTAATTGCTGTTTTTGTATACTTGTAGGAGCTCACGTAAACCCAGCCGTTTCCATAGCCATGGGCATCACCAAGAAGATTTCCGTGCTGAGGGCTTGCATGTTCGTACTCTCCCAATGCGGAGGAGGCATCGCCGGAGCAGCTTTCCTCTATGGGTAAGTTACAGTTTTTTCTCTCCTCTTTATCGAGTATGCGGGGGAGTAATATTGGGTTTCATTGCGTATGAAAGGGTGGTTTCCTGTCCATTTGAATAAGGTGCTTCCTCTTTATGCGAGCACGCACACAATGCGGCTCGTGGAGTTGTTTTCTTTTAACATACAATTTGTATAAGATGGACAAAATGAACACTTTGTCGCACGGGATCTTGTTAAAAAAAAACATCTGTCCGAGATTTACAAGCATCACCTGCCCTTCGATACTCACAATTCGTACATTTTCGATCTTCCTGATCGCCTGCATCCAGGTAAAACGCATTTCCTTTTATTTGCAAGACAATTGAGATAGACGAAAAGGTTGCCTTGAGCTGTATGCTTTTTCTACCTGGAACCTTTAATTTACCTTACTTCGCCTTACCTGGAACGAGGCTAGCAGCTGCCGAACTCTCCAAACCTTTTATTTAAGAAAAATCTAGATCACAAATGGACCTTAACAGAAGCGCAATCCAGAAATAACATGAGCGAATAGTACTCACCCATCTGTGCACTTGCCGGCAGAAAGAACAAAAAAAAAAGAGTAACAACAACATAAAGAAGTACTATCAATCAGAAAGTGATAGCAACCCTTTTCGTCGGGGATCACCACCCCTGCTGCACTTCCGACGATGTGTGACAATATATGTTAATTCGCCATACAGCGGCGTGATCATTGTTGACCCCCTCAACCGATTGGGGTGTCGAAACCGCCCCATTCGCCACTTGTTCGCGGCCAGGGGTTATCTATTTTCTATTATCTACTAGTTTACTATTTTTTTATGCGCCATAAATTGCGGATAGTTTATGTTCCACATGGTGGTTGCTTTTCGCATATGCACCGAAGAATGCGCCCCAGAAACGCGTTTGTCTCCATATGGTATCCACATGGTAAAAATTACACATCCCGAAGTAAATATTTTATTATTATTATTGTCTGCACATAAGCGTCACGCTTCTTGCAATTTCAACCCATCCAGTACGGAACTTAGTAATTATACGCAAATTGCATTTACTTATTTTTACTATCAACTGTCTTTTATTTTATTAATTACTATCTTAGTAATACTCATATTATTATTTAGTTAAAACTAAATGCGAAAAACAATTCCAACAATTTTGTTTTTAAATTTACATTCATTCAAATTCTAAACACTTTATTTATTAAAATATTTTTATTAATTAATAAATTAAAAATTATTTGGAAAAAAAAAACTTAGCCACTGTTCTTCGAACCGAAAACGTCCTCAGAATTGGTAAGAAAATTGAATACAAAAATGTAATTGGAGAATCAGTGAAATTTAATATTTTTCTTTTCAAATGAATTAGTTGTAAAAAAAACACATCACAGAAATGCTATAACATTTTGTAAAATGAATTATTTGACAAAATCAAGGTTTATTTTAAAGAGATGAAAATCTAAGAATTTGCAAGAAAAATATCATATTCTGAAGGAGTGTGAAATTTAATATTTTTCTTTTTCAAATGAATATATTTTGTATATCTGAAGTGGCTGAAGAAAACCGAACACTTCGATTCTTAGTCTCGCTCCACGCACGTGTGTTCAAAGACCAAAACCCCGACCACCTGGCGTCGTTTTGGTGTGTGTATATATATTTTTTCTTCTCCGCCTCCTTATCCTCTCTTGCGTCTCCTCACCAACCACTTGCTCTGGCATTTCCGCCCTTTGGGTTTCAGCCAATTTATACGTTCCTTTTTTCGACTATTTTCATCTCACAGCATGGAAGCAGCTGTGGAGCATGGAACATCCCCCAGTGCATTTCTTGAGCTGTGATACAGATAATTCTTGGCCACGCTCAGCACTTATACCGAAACTTATTCCTCCGTAAAAATTACCAATGTTTCGAACGGCAGATGTTCTTCGAGATGCTGAAGCTGCTGCTGCTGCTGCTGCTTCTTCTTCTGCTACACGCGCTCCTCCTCAATTCACGAATCGGACACTGTTCCCACAGTGTTTAAAGTCCCCAGGCGATTGAGAGCGAGGTGCTCTAATTCTGGCACGTGCGAATTCCCATCGATGGGATGGGAAAATCGCGCGTCGTTGGATGCATTTAATCAAATTTTGGGGGTGGCCGCACCCTGACCAAACATTCGGTTTCAAATTCAAAACATCCGCTCACGGATGATGAAGACATCACCACTTGATCTCCCCTATAAAATTTTATTATGCGGCTGGCTGCAACCCCGGTCATTAAAATCCACTTGTTCGCATATGATACGCCCTTGCGAACATGAATCGCCCGAATTTAAACTGTGACTTTACACCCCTCCGAGGGAGACGAGCTTCATAAAATCGAATTGAAAAAAGTATTTTACACTTCATTTATAATCAGTAATATATATATATATATAAAAATATTCAAGTAAAATAAATAAAAATTGTTGTTTCTGTTTTAACGAGAATATGTTTTTAATTTGAAGATGCATTAAGAGCAGATGTATATGCAAGAACCTGTCCGGTTCGAAGAAGAGAGCATTCTTTTCTTCGTCGGCAGCTGGCTTTTTCATATTTTTACAGTAACACGATCCGCGGGCAAAACCAGTTTCCAAAAAGTACAAAATGCCAAAGGCTCATACGCCAGGTTTAAGTTTTATTTTCCTTTTGTACTTCTTTAGGTTCTCCGCCTACATATTACACTTTCAATTCCGTTTAAAATCCCTCAAAATGAGTGTACATTCCCCGTCCTAAAGATTACCTGGTTTATTGAAAATCTGGACCAGGTGCTTTTACTAAAGAAAGCATGTGGCCAATATTCTCCGCATCTTTTCACTTTTTTCTCCTCTCTTCATTTCATCCATTGATTCTCGGGGTAAGCCCGGAGAATGCGAGAAGTGTGTAGTAAAGAATCATGATGAAACATGCAGCAATTGAAAGGCCGACTGGGGCAGGGGACCACTGCATACATAGGGTCACAAACATTGAAACCAATTGTTCCCTTATTATTATCAATTTAAAACGATTCTGTTGCGGCCACTCTTTTTATTTCTCCTCCGCTGTATATGTCCACCAATTACTTGCGTGCTGACGTACTCTACTCCTTAACGAAATTATTCGCCATCTTAATTGAACGCAAACGGCGTGCCTGAGTTAAATTGTTTCCATTCCTAAACTGGGGATTGAGTACGCATTGTCGACGAAGCAGGTAAACCAAGATTATTTGTTCTTTTTTAAAAAGAAGATAATCTTAGGGTCTATTTGCTTTTATATTTTCTTATGTTAGCGTGTACTTATAAACATATATCAAGCGATAAGCGCTTCCAAATGTTAGTTTGTATAATGTCCAGATAAATTTTATCATATCTTCTTATGTTTCCAGAGTGACAGTTCCTGGTTATCAAGGAAACTTGGCTGCAGCCGTTGGACACACAGCAAGCGTAGCCGCATGGGAACGTTTCGGCGTTGAATTTATCTTGACGTTCGTCATTGTCCTCACGTACTTCGTTTCCATGGACACCTCTAGGAGATGGACGAATAATGCGGGCATCACCATAGGCGCCGCTTACACGGCTTGTACTTTTGTTTCTGTAAATTATCTCCGAACCAACCCTTTGAGCGATTTTACTAATAGCGGTGATCATTTACAGATGCCGTACCTAAATCCGGCGCGATCTTTGGGTCCTGCCTTCGTCCTCAACAAGTGGGATAACCACTGGGTGTACTGGCTAGGCCCTTCAGTCGGTGGAGCTGTTTCCGGCATAATCTACGACTACATTCTAAATCCCCGCAGAGAGAAACCTACCAAGGAGGTTTCTGATGGCGACTCCTCTAGCATCCACTCTGACGAAGACACCTACGATGATTTAGATAAACCTGCTGCGCCAAAATTTCACGGGTCTACGTATAATACATACAGGCCAACAGCTGCCCCACCCGCAAATATAACATCCGCTTTCCTCTATCCTCCAACTAAATTAGAAAGAGTAGAATCACTCTATGGTGGTACCAAATCCCTCTGCTGCAAATCGCCACCATTGACTAGAGCTAATCTAAACCGTTCACAGTCAGTTTACACCAAATCTAATAGCGCCATCAACAAGGATACATCGACTCTACCAAGGCCCGGGCCATTAGTACCTACTCAGTCTTTATATCCTATGCGCTTGAATCAACCAAACCAAAGCCACGTACAGAACCAGAACGTACAAAACCAAATGCAGACTCAACGATCTGAAAGTATCTACGGTGTCCGCGGAGTAACCCCAGGAACATCATCGAGAAGCGAGACATATGCTTCGACCAGGGAAACAGAACGGCCTTACCCTTCAAGGAGCAATTCGGAAGATCAAAAACCGCAAAGACCTAGACCGGATTCCGTATACGGTATAGTCGGAACTCAAGGTAGAAGAGGACAATCCACTGCATCGGATGACGCTAATTACGGACCGTACCATAGCACAAACCAAAGGAATACTGCAAGCGCCAATGCACCATACAATGCTTCTAATAATTACCCCAGCAAGCCGGGAACCAACCCCACTTATGCTACAAGACAGGAAGTAAGACAGTCGCCGCAGAATCAACCATTAGCTCAAGCCAGCAATCCGCCTCCGAATTACCATCACACCCTCCCTCAGCACTCCCCGAATCCTCAATACTAAAATGTCAATGAAGGGTGTACAATAACAATATAACAAACTGTATTATCAGCAGGTATTCGTTGCTATAGGTGTTTGTTAGTCATGCGAAGCGCTTGTATTACATGCTATACTGGAAATTGATGTATCGATGAAAATGTATGAGAAAAGTTTAAAATAAGTTTGCGGATGATTTCCCCACAGACGTTGAGTTTTTCATTAGACGCTTCATCGTCATATATGTTTATTGTTGAGAATGCGCTAGGGATTGCTGAAACCTGATCATTACAGTCAGTGTTACGAGAGGAATCTTTATTTTCTTTGTATATATTTTTCTACCTCCAAACAAGTTTCCCTTCCTTTCCTATACTTAAAGACAAACAAAAAAATCTACCCAGACGTTTCTGGTCTCCAAAGAATATTATTTATTTAATTTTTTTTATATATTAATATTTCGTCTGTTATTATTTTTTTTACTTGATTATTCTAGAAATTAAGCAAACATGAATATATAAATATATGCATATTATAATATATAGGTCAAACGTTTTACAATAAATAATCATCAAAATTTTCTTTCGCTGTTGCCCGAGTGATTGAGGAAAATCAATATTTCATTGCATTATCTTGTGAAATGTTATAGATAGCTCAAAACTATTCTCCATATTTTGCGAACATATTTTTAGCAATATCTTCGGATAGGCTTAGCAGATCGTAATGGGTGAATGCTCGATGGAAAGAGATATGTTTTGCGGATAGTCCTAAGATGATTCGGTTGTTCTGTGAGCAAAAGAAATGCATAATTTTCTCGATAGAAATTTTGAATTTTTAAGCGCATGACTCAAAATACCGTCACCTGTTGGTGAACTTTGGTAACACGAGCTCCAGCTGCTAGCTGCGTTTTACCGGGCTGTCACATACTGCATACTGCATCATACATCAAAGAGCTGCACAGAGTGCATCCACCCAGTCACTCTAACTTAGTCACTAGATTACTTGTTCAGTAGGTCGTCATCTGAAATACTACACGTAAGCCTTGCTACCTATAAGACACAAACAAAGCTGCTAAAGCACGTACTCTACATTTAAAACAGTATTCAGTATTATTCACGCTGGCGTCGAGTAAGATGGACTACATGGATGATGAGAATGAAGGTAAGAATGTCCTCTTCAATAGTAGCATGGCTATCTGGTTTTCAATGTTTAAATCGCATGACTACAACAGCATAAAAAAGTTCAAGAAAATTAGCTCTGCTGTTATTTGAATGTTTTGAAGGAATGTTGGTTGTAATTGTTGTTCTTTGTGTATCGCTGTTCATTATTGTACCTTGATTAAAGGATTCATAAAAGATATAATTGAAGAGTTGCTGGCAAACGTGCTAGAGCAGCTACGCAAAAATTATGCTGCCTTGGAGCCAACAAGCAGCAATATTGAAATCAGTGAAAGCATGGATTTTACTGATATAAGCGACATAACACAAATGGCCAATAATTATAATCGACCTGATCAAGTACAAAACCTAGAAGAACTTGAGCTACTTACCACAGACGAAGTTGATGAACTGATGAATGATGTTAAGCTAGAACAGATCGACCCAGAGGCCATTGCGAGCATTGAAACAGACTTTTTCCTATCACTAAGCAACACTGACTATTTGTCTCCGAATTTAGGGGACCTTGAAGAAGCTCATAGATCAACAGCTGATTTTGATGACTTTAGCAGTTCAGATGATGAACAATGGGAGGGCATTAATACAAATATAGCAAATAGTATCCCTAAAACAGATTTTCCAAATTTGAATAGCAGAAACCACTGGAACCGCTACAATGATTGCTTCACAGGTCCGAGGTACATCATATGAAACTACCCCAATGAGCTAAGTACTTTAATTGCAATCGATTTTAGTACTTCACAAAGCAGGAATGTTACACCTGAAGCATATGACAAGTATTTCATGCTGCTGAAAAACTGGCTGGAGACAGCTCGCATTGATATGAACGTTGGTCCACCTCCCTTCCTCCCCAACGTCACTATGCAAGACGTTATATCTGTCGCCGCAGCTATTTCTGCGGAGAGGCGGAATGCTGACGAAGAGGAGCAACTGCAAGCGATGGGGGCTGTCGCAGCCGTCGCTGCTTCTGACGGGACTGCAGCATCCTCATCGTACGAATGCAGGCCCGCTCCTATCATGAGAAGGATTGCTGCTGGCGTCATTGATGGTATCATTGTTTTTATGATTAAATTTTATTTGATTATAATTTTGCAAGATACTTTTGGGTTGTAAGTTACAATCGGAAAGGTATCTCGTACCATGGTTCTAAAACATTTATGCGAATTTTACAGAAATTTATCGAGTTATGCTGATTATCTGGAAAACCCGGCACTATTTTTAAATTTATCTAGCGATATCGCTATTATGGAATTTGTTTCCAAATTATTTATATTTGTTTATGAGGTGAGATATGCCGGTAGCATTATTCCTAGCGTCTTACTTATACAACACGTTTCTTTTTTCCATTGCAGACATATTTTATTTCTCGACATGGAGCCACCCCTGGAAAGAGAATGACCGGCTTAAGGGTTGTCACCGTAGATGCTGTCTCCCCAATTCCTGGTAGAGCCACAGTGAAAGCTACAGCTATGTCCTTCGTCAGTTGGAGGCGAGCTCTGTTCAGAAGTATTCTGAAGAACATTGGTTTATTCCTCTTCCCAATTTTATATGGTTTTTTGATCTCAAACTACACTCGTGCTGGATATGACCATGCCGTTAAAACCTTAGTCATCGACGGCACTGTTCGCCCAATACGCATCGAGGAGAATTGAACTCTGTGATCCCTAGACCTAAATTATTTTTCTATTTATATTGTATATCCGTTCAAGAGAAGGCTCGTGTTCTTAAAAGAAAAAATATTTATATAAAAAAAAAATTGGTATTAAAAGAACAATATTGAGTAGTCTCTGATATAATGACGGATATAATCTAATTTGAAATGAGTCAGTATACATTCTTGACTCAACTACTCCCTTACCTATCCTTATATATTTCTTATAAGTGTACAATATAAAATATTCTAATATATATATATGTAAAAATCAATGTAAAAATATAAATATCTATAAATAAATATATATATACACATTATTGTAAATTAAGAAATATCTATTATATACAAAGATATATACTTTAAGAAACAAATAAACACATATATCTGCTGTAGGAGACAACTGACGAAATAAACAAAAAAAATTGAAAAATACACATTCTAATAAGTTTATTTGCTTTAATATTTCTACATACACTGTTTCACATTGAGAAATTACATGTTCGTTAGTGCTCGAAGAGTTTAAGTTTCAAGATGAGTTTATACCATGTTTTATTTTTATATTAATATTAATTAGACAGTCAATTTGAAGAAATGCATGTTCACAAATAGAATGAAATTTACTTATTATGTTATATAATTATCATATATATATTTATCTAGTCTAAATGTATACACTTATCGATACATCATATTTTTTTTATGTATGCAAAATTATATTTTGCAAATAATCACAGAACATAAAAATCTTACAACTTCACTTAGCATATTTCATAGAATTGAATACCCTCCCTCACCGCCAGCCGATCATTCAAACAAATGTGAAACAACGAAAAATAATAATAATAATAACAAAAGTAAAAAAAAAAATGAACATACACATTGTTTAACATTTACTCCCTGACAATATGCATAAAATTTCTTCGTCTTTTGGAATGTTTTCTTTTTTTCCCCTTCTGCAGATACAAAAATTAAGTGAAATAATCATAATTAATTTACTCCTCCCCGAAAAGTCATTGTAAAATAAAATTAAAAAAATAATATTAAATAACGATCTAATACTGAAGTGAATAAAGATCTTGAGTGCACACAACACACACAGCACACAGAGATACACACAATCTTTTGGTCCATAAAGTAAAATAAATTCTTTAAAGTAATATTCAAAACAACAACAAATATATATAACAAAGCTTACAGACCAAAAATTGTGAAGTTCGAGTATAATATATTTTATATTATATATATATACATTTATATATATAAATATACAAGTGTGCATATATATTTATATAAATATATATATTATATAAGTTAAGAAACAATATGTTTTAAATACACATAGAAAAATATTTTTTTTTAGCTTTTTTTTAAAAAACTTTTTAAACATTTATAGGGATTCAAAAGATGAGATCCGACTGAACACATAAATAATGATAGACATAAATTAACATTAGATACAACAAGTCAAATCGAAATACTGTCATCTAAATGTTAAAAACCCCGGAATGACACACCTAATGGATCATCTTATGTATCTTGAGTATTTTACCCAATCGTTGTTTTACAGTCTTCATGCCCTTCTTTGGTTTCGGCGTCGAAACCTTCGTCGCCTTCGGAGGAACGGGGAATGGCTTCGGAGGCGGCATAGGCTCATTCAGCAGCAGGCATCTCGGAGGCGGCGGAGATGGCGGTGGCGAGCTGGCGGAGGTGATTGTGCACGTCACCGCCGTCGCCTTATCCGCAGGTTTAGCCCTGGGCTTAGCCTTCTTCTTAGGAGTTGTTGGCTTCTTGGGTGCCTAATTTCGAAACACAATTGAACGCAATTTGCTCGACGTCTTGAAGCGAAGAGTATACTTACTTTGGCCTTTTCTGATAGTTCAGTTGCACGTTTGGCGGCTGCTTCTAGGACCTTCTCGACTGCCTGCTTCTTTGTGCCCTCCCTTGCGGGTCTGTTCATTTTTGGCAAGAGCGGTCCCACGCGCACCTTGGGGTTCCACGGCTCATCTATGCTGGATCTGTTCCTTGGCTTGAACAAATTGAAATCGTCGTCGTCGGAGTTATCTAACCCTGGATAAACTATACAAAAATGGAAAATCAGTAACTCCGACATCGCCTACATCCATAACAAATTACTGTAATCCTCGTCCTGATGAACGTTGTTCAGAGCGTCCTCTTCTTCCAACTGACTGTGCGAACGTTTCTTACGCTTGTTCTTCTCGTCCCAATCGCTGCATCCGAGAGCAAGGATATCCGCGATGGTATCTTCACTTGAACCTTCCACGACGCCATGATCTTCAACGTCGCTACTAAAGTTCGAAAATAAATTAACACTCCTCATCTATGCAAGCACATGTATAACAAGGATCTTACTCTAAGTATTTAGGCAAAGCAGGGGGCTGCAAGAAACTATCAATCCCACTACTCGATGATAATTCGGGATTATCCCTGCGTACTAAAATTTATTGAGGAAATATCAGTACAGATTACCATCAGCAAGATCAATATTAAACAAGTACCTGGTAGCCTAACTTTCAACTTTTTAACCTTCTTCTCGTTCTCATCAACACCACCGCTCAATAAACAGTCTTCCTCTCTTTCACTATCATCATGGAAATCGTATACCGATTTAGACAAATTTACGTCGTGAACAACAGCAGTCTCAACTGGGATTATATCTCTTGTCCTATAAAAAGCAACAATTACATATTTGCAATTGCAGTTTTATACGCGTTGATATAATTGTATTTTACCGGTTATTCTAATTCAAAATTTTAAGACCTTTCTTCGTGAAATGAAAACAAAATTTACAATCAAATAGTGGAATTTGATTTTAATACAAACTACGCTCTTGACGAAATAAAAACATAGAATACCACTATATCAAATTGTGTGTCTGTTCTCTATTACTTACTTTTCAAACAGATGAATTGCTTATGCTAGATTTCGTCTTAATTATAGTTAGCAAACAAACTGCAAACTTGTAAAATGTAAAGCTTAATTAAAAATAATAATCCATGAAGCTTTTTAGTTGATTAAATTTGAAATTAAAGCAAAAATAATAATTCTAAAATTAAAGTATTCGTCGATAAGATTTTTTGAATAATTTATATAAAAAAAATATTAAATTAACGTGATTTTAACGCTGTTTTGTAGTTAACACGATAGTCGATAAAAAAATAAACTGTTATAGTCAAATGAAATTCAAGACGCACCAACGGTTTCTCTAACAATTGCATTGAATTACGTAATGCAGTTCAGTATAACATTTTATATAAAGAGTCCTCACCTTAAATCCGACTATATAATTTTATAGTTATTTAATATTATTTATGTTTTTTTGTTTAACATATTTTTTTAGGAATAATAAGTCTTTTTAAGAGTGAAATGACTGCAATAGGTAAATTTCATTTGACTTTCTAAAATTTAAAATAAGAATTAATTATTTTCACCGAGTCACGAAAAGCATCGGCAAAAAAGCTTCAGTGTTTTAAGAAAGTTACATTACCCGAGTTTTATTTTCAGAATTGTTCCTCCTGCGTGGATGGCCGTGGTTTCCTCAGGGCGCACGTTGGGCTCAGACCAAGAAGGATTGTACTCAGTCATTAATGGAGCTTCGACGGGCGCAGCTACCACATTCTCATAAGTGTAAGGTTTGGGTAATGTGATCTTAATAGGTGGCGGCTTCTTGGGGGGTAATCTCTCTGGTACCATGCACTACATTAGAATATTTAGATATATTATCTTATTTATATATAAATACAAGTCATCGGAAATAGAGAAAATTGTATTAGTAATAATAAAAAATGACTAAGAAGTACCTCCAGAGCCTTAGCGTTGGAGGAGTAATCGACGAAGTCCTTGTTAATAGGCTTTTTCCTTTTGCGTTTTGATTCCCTTTCCGGCTTCGGTGGATTTAATGTGTTTATGTAACGCTCAGCGAATCTGATCTCTTTGGAGATTTCCTTAAAGAATTTGGCAACGTTGATCTCCGATGGGATCTGCTCGAAAGAGTTCTTCTCGAACTGTAAATACTAAATCAAAAATATTGCTAAACTGTTCATATTGTAATACGAACGATCATATCCTTTCCGGAATTCCAGTGCTTCAAATAGGCCAATATAGACTTGAGGCCATCGAGTAGGTTACTCGGACAGCGCACCTCTTGAGCATTCAATTCGGTCATGCGGTAAAGCATTCTCTTGGCCGCAAACCAATGGATGGTCTCGAAAAACGGATAAAGGAATTTTGCTTCCGTTTTTGTTTTTACCTCAATGTCGTAGATCCTAAATGTGAAAGTCAATATTATTTTTTTGATCGACTTGTTATTGAAAAGGTAGATACGCTGTGCACAATAATTAATACAGCTTCTACAGAAAATTAATGATGCTTTAATACTTGCCTCAATTGCATTTGAATATTCAAGCTATGCAAGAAATTGCCTCCGAAGACAAGAGAGTCGACGGGTGTGAGGACAGCGTGAATCCAACCAGTTGGTATAAGCATGGTCTGTCCTTGGCGTAGGGTGCACTTGAAGCATTGGTCGACCTGGTCTCCAAAAAAGGTCTCGCTTTGGTTTGTCGAGGACATCCACTGCTGATACAAAGCAAGGTTCTGCTGGGTAGGTCTGACGAAATAGAAGACCTTCTCGCCGCGCAGAACATGATACCAGACGCTGGTACCACCGAAGTCGATATGGAAATCGGTGTACGAGTTCTTGACGCTCATTAAGCAGTACTTCTGCACGTTGGGAGCATCAACACTGTACGAGGGCGGCCAGACAGAATTGACCCAGTCCAACTTCCTGGCAATCATGGGAGCCTCCACCTGATTTGCCAACCTACAGACCATCAAATTACAATCAAGTCACATAGATCTATCCATAAATTACCCTGTATTGGAGATTTCCAAACTGACAACATTGAAAATCCTTCTTCGATCCATGCCATAGAAGTATGCAATATATTCTCCTAGTGTCATCCGGAAATCAGCCTGCCTGGTGACATCAATGACATCCATTTCATGGTCGCTACCCACGAAATTCTCAATATCATAGAGGGTGAAGTCCTCTGGGGGCACAGTGAGTTCAAGTCCATCTTTGTCATCGATAATGATTGGATTATTGAACCCCTTCTGTGTTAGATAATGATCTGTTAGCTGAGGTCCGCGGATATGCAAGACTATTTCTCCATCACTGGTGAAGTGTCTAGAACGCAGTTCTCTGATGAAAGTGACAGTGCCTGTCTGCACTGGCTTATCAGCAACATTGTCCTCCCAGTAGTTGTGCCTGTGGCTGTTGAGATACGGCTTAACTAAAAACAATCAATAATGAGCAAACTGCGGAGATCAAACAATGTCCACTAACAAATGGAGGGTCCATAGAAATTGGAGCACCTGGGACAGTGGTACTTATCAATTTCGACTGCAGTATATTCTTTGAAGCTGCTACACCTGGAAGTTCATCAAGAAAATACATAGTATATAAACACAACAACAATGAAGCTGTTTGACAGAATAGGTTATATTTGGAGTGTCAGGGAGGCGGCTAATCGAAGGGGTAAAAGTGCAGCTTCCATGTATTTACGTACTTGCTGTGGAACCAATCTCTGCAAACATCGCACTGGATCATAAAAATGTTCGGGTCGTAGGGTTGTCCACATAAACAATAAGCTGTACTATTTGCCATTATTCCACTCTGACTGACATGACATTTACATCTTGCAGGTTGGCCAACCTATTCCAACAAACAAGAGACAAAAGTTACTTTGGAGATGGAAAACAAAACAATAATAGAGCAATAGTCAATTGATAACAATTACAATTAGTAATCATTCTAGGTTTCGGTCTATTACAAGAGGAGGGGATGCTTCCCGGTGCCAACTGGGCGTTGGAAACTATTCAAAGGATATTTTGCAAACCTTTCAATGGAGAAAGTCGCCAACGCTCGGACCACTAGGTGCTGGCTTCGGGTCTACGATGCCGATGTGTCCTCTATAGTTTGGCTTCGATGACCACCCGAAATGACCAATTTATTAACAACAACCTTTACACGGAAGCCGACAGTATTGATTGTTCTTGTACTTCTAGTATGACCCGAGCTGCATAGGGTGCGCTGCGATGCACTTGCACAACATTTTATTATTATTATTTCAGCCGGTGCAGCTGTATCGATCGTCCCGTATTCCCAGGTAAATTGACGACCTGGATGCAGCTCAATTTTTTTTTACGAAACTAGGTCGCAGCCAGATTGTTCTTGCAGGATTCTTACTAGGACGAATGCAATTCTCTTCCTATTGTCTTCAATTTACAAATACTTTTATTTTCGTTCATCGAATTCATGAATGATCAATACAATATCATTTTTACTTAAACTATTTTAAATTACAATTAAATTCGTAAACATGCGATGATATTGGATATAAATTAGTTATAAGGCATGCATGAAATATAGTTGATTTCTTGGTCTTGGCAAATATCGATTTGGGTAAAGGCGTCAGCATCCTGATCTACAGAATCTCAACTCATTGAAAATAGAAAAAAAACAATATTTAGAAATAATAAATAAAACGAACATCGATACAATTCGCATGCAAACATTGAGAGTCTGTGTATTTGTTTGTATCTGTAATGTGAGATTTATTTGGAGTATTTGGTACAGATTTAATATTGTCTCAATGCTCTGGCGAATCCAGGATGGAGTATTTGGATATGGCCATAGCGATGTCTGCGTGTTCTCTGATATTTGTTTAATTTTTAGTGTTCTCTTGTGTATTTATGTTGTGTTTTGAGATGCTGGAAGGGGATTAACGAAAATAATTATGTATTCTCACCCTTTGCACAAGAAAACATAAATTACACTTGCACAGAACGAGGCAAATGGATGGTCGATAATGGTCCCCGGATGGACTGCGCCCGATAGGGGTAGTATTCTATATGTGGGGTGGTGAGCGTGCGCCACTCCACCGGAAATGCGCGGCGGAAAACTGTTGAAAGGTAGCTTTCCACCCCATTCACCCTATTTCAGGTATTTTACCACAGAGAGCGCCACGGTGGCGGTTTTCCCAGGAAAATTTTCAAACTTTTGCTTCCTATCATCTTGTTTATTGTGCGTTAGATAACGCTTATTGATTTATTGACGCCGAACATTATCGCAAACCTTATAATAATAGTTTAGGCGATGTTTGCGGCTGCATCTGTTTGCGGTGCAAATAAGAAATGTGTTATTGTTGATACGATGGCCGGGATGTTTGCGTACAGATTGCTCACCAGGAACGATTATATTAAGCAAGTTTAATATTACAGACAACATTTTTTAGTTCAACAGAATGAAATATTATAATGTAAAAAAGGACATAATCAGTACAATAAGAAGATTTGGTAATGAGTTTGTCATTAACCCTACGTGTTATATACTAAGTAACATGTCAAGTTACTAATTGTTACTTTACTAGTACTTTCGTAAATTAAATACGATCTATAATTGATATTTCGTATTTAGATAGTTAAAAAGATAGATTTAGTTTGTTTTTGCTTTTAGTGAAATACTGTCTAGACTAGTCAAATAAACAAACATAGTTAGTTAGATTTAGTATGCTAATATAAATAATAATTTTAAATTATTGAAATTTCATAATGATTATGAGAATATCAAAAATACTATCAGTAATACTGATTGTGTTTAAGTTGATTTTCACTCCTTCTATTTTGTCTTTATTTTATTTCGAATAATTGAGGTTTCGCTTTGATCTCGCGCGCAGACGGATTAGCGAGGGTGGATGAAAGAAAGAATGTGCAGGCGAGTGATTAGAGCCCCCAAGACAAAGCGAAGCTCGGGGATTCCCCGGTATGCAACGATTGCGTAAACGCTTAATAAACAGGGTTGATTTATACGCGTCGCGACAATAATAGGTGAAGTAGATAGAGGTAAGGAAGTCTAGGCTTCGGAGAGGTGGATTGATGATGTGCAGAAGAAGCGTTTGCGTTTGGCGGAGCGTTGTTTTTAATTATTGTCGGGAGATTAAAATGTGAGCCGCGAAAGGATATTACCTCATTTGTGACGTTATTAAAGAGGAAGCTCCGGCGCTCCTCTTCTTCCTCCTCCCGTTCATTCCGTCCCCTCAAGTTCCAAGCAGGTAGAGCTCTGGTCACGTTGAAAATTATAAAGTCATTTTCAAGTATTTCCAACCCCCTTCCCTCCGGTAAATAGCGGGAGCCCGTTGAACCGGCGCTAATGTAAATCTGTCCAGATTCCGAAAGGGGTAATCTTCCGCTAATGGTCGTAAGCGGACCGGTCCAGCAGTAAGCACCTTATTAGCGCGATTTAATATTGTCTCAACCTTCTTACCGGCCATCCCGTGTTTGCTTGGACCACTTCAATCGGAAAACCCTATCAACCCCCTACACGTAACCCTATATTTATGTGTATATATACTACATTATCAGTCAAAAGTGGAGAAGATACATTTATATATTTCAAACAAATCTTTACAACTTGTTATGCTGGAATTTTAATGTTTTTGATTAAATAATAGTAATAAGTAATGAATGAAAACGTATTATTTAAATTGCATGCACTTTTAAATTGTTAGTAATTCTAAAGAATATAATATAGGAAATATATACGCACGCACAGTCGTATATAAATCGGCATGCATTTGGTCGGATAAGAATGTGTGTATCGTGCGGTTAAAGTGTTCCACTCGCCAAGTGGATAAGTGGTTTTGGCTGTAGGTCTCTCGCGTTTCCATTTGTATGGAGTGACCAGTATATAAGGAACCCCGGATGCTGTACCAATGGACCGTGAATTGCTGCGATCCGGCACGGCAACTTCATCCGCCACTGACCACCATCCCCCTGCACCTCTAATGCTTCTATTCCCGAAAAAGTACTGGAAGATGAAGAAGCAGGAAAAGAAAGAATAAAAAAATCGAAATAAATCCATCCTCCTACATCTTAATTTGAGACTTAGAAAAAGAAGATTAAACACTCCTCCGTCTCAATTTCACCACGAGTTAATATGTGCTCGTATTATTATAGCACAATTAAGGGAGTTTAATTTAACTCGCATTAATCGAATGGGAGACAATGGCATCCTCCTTCTTCCTCCACCTCCTCCCCAGGTGGTATTAAATCCTTCCTTGCTTCCTCGCTCTTTAAATATAATCGATGTTGTAAATATATGCCGGAGCTTCGGTTGGGAATGGGATGCGGTGCGGAGCCAAAGTCAATGCTGACGGCATGCCGAACGAGAGAGGGTGGAAACACTTTAATAAACAGTTTGTAATCAACCTGATGCAATTAGCGATGCCGACTGCCTGAATGCCGGGGGAGGCAGAGGCAGGCTAACGTAATGACAGATATCTAAGTAACCATTACACTAATTGTACTTCTCCAAGCGTCATCAACAACTTGTAACAGGTGTAGTCGTTCCGGCGACCACGTTCGATGCAAAACCAGATATAATGCGTTTCTCCGGGATACGCCATTCCGAAGATTCGCACAACTTTCCTAACTTCCATCCAGATACGATTACGGCATCGCTCTGTTGTACTTTCGAGAGGAACGAATGAACTTTAAAAGGCCGTTCCTTCCGAAGGGCTCAAAAGATATTATGTAATTAAGGTGTAACGATTTTCTCTTTTTCTTTTCGGCTTCTCACATAAAACTGAATATATTCAGAAAAAAAATCAAATATTTAAACTCAATTATTTAGATACTCCCAAAATTATATTTTCAAATGTTTATTCCTATAAATAGGAAAATCTTCAGTTTTTCTAAAAATTAGTATCAAATTTGTGAAAATGCTCTTACTTCAAATTTGAAGATTTAAAAAATTCGTTTGAAATTATAAATGGAAGCATTAAAATTCTTATTGATGTATTCTTGAAATTAAAAGTTTGATGATAAATAGTGGGGTCGAGGTATATTTAATGTATTTTAATTTTTTTTTGTCGTGCGATGTTTGTTGCGTCTTCTGGGGTAGATGGAAAGATCTAATGCAGTTTTTATTAAAAAGTATATATTTTCGGGTAGGGTTATTGATGGTGCATGGGTGCGGGGGACCAAAAATTTTCCCTTTTTTATTATTTAGAAATATCGGACGCAATTTGGCGAGGTTATTGGCAGTTAGTAGGTTATGTATGGGACCGGGCGCGCTCTCGCAATCCCATATCAAGATTGATGACCACTTCATATAAATATAGGATTTTATTCCGGCGGAATCGTATCCCCGTTTCCGTATCCGTATCCGGATCCGGGGAGCTCTTAGCGCGGAAAGCTCTCGTCATGAGTACATAAGATTAATAGTAGGCTTTGTTTATCCTATGTAAATGCTATTAGCGCATTTACTGCGCTTAAAGGCTGTGCTCGAGCATTTATTTGCTACAACACGACATCCAAATACTCGCTGATTTATCCCGCATCTCTAATTATTGAACGATGGATCTTCGGAGTGACACCGCGCGAGGGTGAGTGGGTGGCTCGCAGTCCCCAGGGTTTTCGGAATCGGCGAGGGGATTGAAGAGGTGGAGGAGAAGGCAGCACCCACCCTGTTCTTCTCGGAGAAATAAATCCCAGCAGCCGCGCGGACGCTGCGGCTTTAATTGATTTAATTACATTGTGTTAATTAGGGTAGCTGTTTGGAAGCAATACCAGAGTCCAACTGGCGCCGCGCAAACCTAGGTGTTTAACGAAAAGCCACCCTCGCTTCTGCTAAGTTCCTCGGCCGCTGCCCATTCCACGACGTCTCCGCCACCCTAAATTCACCCCTTTGGTACAGCCGAAATACACATATAAACTCTCGACCGTTCGTTCAAATCATCTGTTGGGACAATTGGCATGGAAATGGTGGGTTCGTGACGCTCCCCGTCGATTCTTGCTGCAATCCGGCCGATTAGGTAAATGAAGATGCGGGAAGAAGGTTCTCCTTGGCCGCCTCTAACTTGTACACGTCGGTCCCTTCCGTAATAAATGCCCTCGACTTTGCCCGACTAGCCATTAATATAACATTGCAATGTACCATCCCGGCACGTGGGATGCCTTATGCATATGTTCGGTCCCTCCTAACATCCTAATTGAAAAATCATAAATCAACCATCCTTCCTCCCCCAGCATCTTAATTAATTCATCCCTACTGAACAACAAAAATCCTTCAATTTCAACCAATTTAATGAAATTTCATCTACGTTTACATAAAACCAAATCATATCAATAATACAGAAACTTCTTCATCTACACTTACATAAGAATATCGCTTCTATTCATTCATACCTCAGAAATTTTTAATAATGGTTAACAGTTCGTTAAGACCCTACCAGAAAAAGTCTAAATTTGATATATACACACTCGAATCAATTTAAATGCATTCCGCGTAATCCGAGCATTTCTTATCTCAGCAATTTTATTTTTGCGAGCGACGAGGTGGATTTGCCTGACAATTTATTATATTTGAGCTTCAATTATATACACAAAAGTTTACCGAACTTCTTACCCTCATTTAATATTCAACAAACGAAAGTTAAACATCGCCCCATACATTCGCGCGCGCAAAGAAGTGTAAAATAGATTACGTAATGCGTTTTATTTTATTTCATTCCTTATTTTTTTTTAGCGTCGCTTCGGTTTTATGCAATGCCTCGAATAAATATTCTCACGTCTCTCTAACTAATTCATTTAATATTATAATTAGAAAACAAGAATTTGATTATTAAGGTATTTATTTCATTAATAATAATTAATTTACGTATAAATTAGTAATATGGTAATAATAATCCAATTGCAACTTCTATACAACTTCTGATTTCCTAGTAATTGATAAATTTATTGAAAAAATGCTTTAAATTAAAATATGCTTAGATTTTAATATTTTATAGATTACTATGGATAGATTTGATATTTATTAGTATATCTTATTCAATTATTAACATC